TGCAGCCCAAGCAGCAGCCCCAGGGCTGGCACCCACCTCTCCCTGCTCTTTTTTAAGTTAAAGCAGCTTCCATCTCCCTTTGAAAGCAGTGGATAGAATTAACCCTGGGAGCAGCCTGTCTGCATTTCCAATTAACCTGACCTCCCCTGGCCCACCCATAAGCTGGTCCTGTCTCAGCACCCCTTTCAGCCCAGCTTAGCAGTGAGCAGGTCACTGGTCAGTGAGTCCTGGTGGTGGTTTGTGGCTCGGGCACTGAAACGTGGGACCACAGCCCAGGAATTACAGGTTTCCCCAACACTGGGTGTTTTCTGTTCTGTTAATGTAGGTCAAAAAACTCTGGGTGGCTGATGAAAGAAGATAAAGTTTACTGCGAGGCAAATGTGCATGGAGGGAAAGATGGTGATTTCAAGAATTCCTTACACTTAGGACTTAACAACTCTTGCCAACGCTGTGTGAGTGCAATTAAAAATCAAATGGACTGGTAGAGTCAGCCAGGAAAGATCTGCTCTCTTGGGAAGTTCTTACGTTGAGGAGCTAAAAGGTGATTTCCTGATAATCTCAAATTAACATGTTGGCTTGATACATAACTGGAGGTACAGCAGACCCTGCCCAAGAGCCAGCACACACATGGCTCCCTGCTTGGGTCATATTGCAAGCCAGGGACTCCTAAAATACTCATCTCTCCCTTGTGCCAGAGCCTGCACTAGTAGAGGAGTGATTTTCCAAATATCTTCCCATCTCCATGAGCAATCTCCTGTTTCACTGAGATCAGGGCTGCTTTGTAACTACTCTGCAAACCTGACCCGAGCAGGCAAACCTCAGATGGCATCGGGGACCAAGGGCTGGACTGACACGGTGAGAAACCGGCAATGAAGGTTTATGAAATCCTGCAACATTTCCCAATGAAAGGGTAAGGAGGTTTACTTTACATTCTCACTAAGCTTTACTGAGTCTTTTCAAGTCCTGCTTGAAAAACCAGGAAAGACCCACTTGAGGAACTCCTGGGGTCGTACAAAGCCTTCCCCCCTCTCCTGAGTAGGTTGTTTTGGGTTCTGCTCCAGCATGGCATCACTGGCTCCATAGGCAAATGGTCCATGTGGTTTTACCCTGACTATCATGGGCTGATCAGCGTCTTTGTTATTTTAAATTACATGCTTGGCAAAGCCTGAAAATAATTGGAGACTATCTGGAAAAATAAAAATAGAAATTTGAAATGTGGCAGCACTAGCTTCCAAAGTGCAGCACTGAGATAGGAACCCATGAGCCAAATGCTCCCACTGAAAGAGAAGATAAATTAGCTCAGGATGAAGCACTACTTTACATGTACACATAGGCACACAGTGATCTGGCACCAGGAAAAAGAAGAGTACTGAGATGCAGTGAAACAGCTCAGAGCTCAAAAGTTCACCAGTTTCTCCCAGCTCTACCTGTTGGCCTCCCAAAGCAATCCCCTCTTCCCACAGTGCCTGCATCCCTTGGGACATCCCTCTCCAGCCCTCACAGCTCCAGGACTTCCCACAATGGATCCTCCTTTCCATTAATTGTCTGTGTAAGGGCCTCACTCATAAATTGGCTGGGCAATCTCACCATCCTTTCTCCTCACCTGGCTCCAGCCAGACCCTCTCCAGTTCCCATCAGCTCCTGCATGGTCTCAGCCTGTCCTCAACATCTCCAGCCATCGAGAATATTTTATTATATTCTAATCCATCAAATAACCATCATGATGCTGAGCACAGTGCAAAGCCTCAGCAGCCTGAGCACTGACAGGGTTAAATTAAAGGTACCCATGATATTAGAGTTATTATGAAAGGAAGCAGAAAAAAAGCCAGCAACTCTAAGCAGACATGAAGGCCCTCTTAAGAGAAGAAAGGCATGTTAATTAACCTCCAGACATGACTCAAAGCATCATTTGTAGCATGATTAACATAATCCCCCAAGTGCACACACACAAACGGCATTAACGATCATTTGCAGGACTGAACGGCTCCCCCACCCTTTCAACAAATCGGCACATTTGAGCAGGGAAACCGCTGGAAACGTGCACGTTTCAGGAAACAAAAAGAACAACATCCCCCAGAGACGGACACCCCGGCGGCGCCCACCCCGTGTGCTGCAGGTGAGCATCCTCCCCAGGTGTGCTCTCAGCATCCTCCCCAGGTGCTCTCAGCATCCCCCCAGATGTGCCACCAGCTTCACTCTAGAAGAACTCTTGACCCTGTGTCACCTTTTGCTCCCTTTGCCAGCCACAGCTCACACCCTCCTCACCAGCCTCTGCCACTTCAGCAAACACTGGGGGCAGTTTTCAGAAGCTCCCGGATTCCTGTCAATGTTTGGCTCGTGGCTTTCGTTTTAAAAAGGAGCTGCCCACCAGATTGCTTGAAAGATTGGAAATGAATGCCACAGTTCTGAAAGCAAAGAAAAAAAGAGCCACAATTTCCCCATCTCTCCAAAAAGGAGAATCTCCTGCTCAAACTCGTGGACAGGGTTGCCAGCACTCGGCTCCCCCCGTCCTGAGCACCGAGGCGTGTGGGTTTGGAGGCTGCTCATGCAAGAAAGCCAAAGCTGTCACCTGCCTCAGCAAAGCTGTCAGGGATATTTTATCATATTCCACCCCATCAAATAACAATCACAACAGGTATTCCCACAGCCATCATGGCAGAAAGCTGGTAGGGGAGCACTTTCCTCTGAAAGCCACTGCACGGTTTGTTGTTCATTAATTATCTGGGCGGTATTAATAAAGGTGACATGGACATGTCACCAAAATCCCCTGTTAACTCCACTCAGTACTGTGATATTCATCCTTCCACAGCCCAAGCTCAGAGGTTTTGCACTACTTTGTATTCTGGATGTCAGTGTTTTCAGAGGCTGAAGCTTGTTCAAATGAGTCACTGCTGAGCTTCGTTATCTTTAAAGTTTGTTATTACTTGGGAGTGTTTATCTGCATCACATTTGCAAAAACATCTGAACAAAGGCCAGCCCATGGAAACAAGAGCATTTTTGCACCTTTTTATATAAATAGGAAGGAGTTTGTACAGCTGGTTCTTTTCTTTGCAATTCACAATATTTGTCTTTAATGCCAATTTTAAGGACTGTGATGGGATTTAAGCAATCACAGGCAGACCCGGTGTCCTGGGAGAGATAACAGCGCAGCTCCACGGCAGGCTGAGCACCCCAGCTGCTGACACCCTTTGTGCCGGGCACAGCCACGACCTCTCGGGGATGCTGCCCTGTACTGTGATCTGGAGGAAGTCCAAGCTTGTGTGTTCTGAGCAGCAGCAGTGAAATCACACTCACGACCTCGGGGTAAGAAGCTAAGAATGAAGGGAGAGGAGGAAGAAAGGGCAGGGGCAAGCAGGGGGCGGGATATTGGGACCAGGCTTTGTGTGGTCCCAGTGTGACAGGCAGCTCTTTGTCACTCTGGGACACCACAGCAACCCCAGGCCCCATGGGACAAGTGGGGAGGCCTTGGCCTCCCTCCTCCCAAAACCTGGTAAGGGCATCACCCAGGGGGGCTGGGCAGAGGGCAACCACAGTGCCTCCCGTCCAGGCTCGATTTCTGGATCCATGTGTCCCAGGGCCAGCGGTTTCAGCCACCTCCCTGCTCCCTCCTGCTCAGCAAACTCAGCTGGCAAGTGATGCTCAATACCCCGCTGGGAAGCACCAAAATCCCTCCAGCTTCTCCCCCTACTCCCTCCCTCCCGCAGGAGCCTGCCCGGGGCGGGTCGGAGGGGTGGGAGGCCCCGGCAGGGCGGGGTGGCCGGGTCAGACCTGCAGCACGGCCGGGATGTGCCCACGGCCTCACTCGGGCTGCACTGACCCCCACACCAACATGAGGCTTCCATGCAGCACCCCAAGCACAGCCAGGCACCCCAAAGTGGGATGTGACTCCATAGGGACCGAGGGATACCCAGGGGGTGCTGAGGGGATGCTCAGAGGCAGGACATGGGGGGATGCAGGGGATGAAAGGGATGCTGGAGAGCAGCACAGGAAGATGCAGATGATGCTCGAGGGCAGCGTGGGGGATCAGGGGATGCCTGGGATGCTCAGGGCAGGACAGAGATGCTGGAACACGTCTGGAGGACAGGACAGGGGATGCTGGAGTGATGACAGGGGGTCCTCAGGGACGCGAGGAGGACCGAGAGATACTGGAGAGTCTGGAGCAGGTCTGGGGGGATGCCAGGAGGTGATGGGGTGAGGCTGGGGAGCCCAAAGCAGGCAAGGGAGGATGCAGAGGAGGCGATGGGGGATGCAGGGGAACCCGAACCAGGCAGAGGGGATTCTGGGGATGCTGGGGAGCTCGAAGCAGACAGGGGGGATACCGGGGAGGTGATGGGTGATGCTAGTAAGCCGAGGGAAGGGCAGGCGGGATGCCGGGGAGGTGACAGAGGATGCCGGGGAAG